TTGGGCTGAGTTTTGGTATAATACAACATTTCATTATTCCACAGGCATGTCTCCTTTCTACGCATTATATGGGCGCCGCCCTCCACCTTTTCCGAAGTATTCAAGTGGCTCTTCCCCAGCAGAGGCAGCGGATCAATGTTTATTGGGCCGTGACCAGATTCTGTCTCAGCTACGCACTACTCTCTGGCTGCATCCATTAACCGTATGAAGCAGCTGGCAGACACACATCGTCATGATGTTACTTTTGAGGTAGGAGATCGTGTTTATTTGAAGTTATGACCTTACCAACAACATTCTGTCTTCCGTCGAGCCTCGCATAAACTAAGCGCCCTCTACTATGGGCCTTATTGTATCTTGGCCAGAGTGGGACCAGTTACTTATCGCCTTGAATTACCACCAGAGGCCAAAGTGCATCCCGTGTTTCATGTTTCCGTCTTACGCAAACACATTGGTGACAGTCCGGGTTCTACCACTTTACCCCCCACACTTATGCCACCAGCAGATATTCTCTCTCCCGAGTTCGTGTTGGGCAGCCGTACTCTTTCCCGTGGACATGCTCCATGTCAGTAGGTCTTAATCAAATGGCGCCATCTCCCTCCGGAGGATGCTACTAGGGAAGATGTTGCTATTGTAAGTCACCAGTTTCCTGATTTAGACCTTGGGGACAAGGCCGATGTTCCGGGAGGGAGTATTGATAATGCCATGAAGCGTACGAGGCGGGCCAACCCACATTATTTTTATCCGGAGACATTTATCAACAAATTATCGGTTTGGGTGGCCCATGATGGAGAAAACCAGCAGTAGCTTTACTTTTAATTACTTTCCATTATTCTGATTTTATTTAATAGGGAGTATTTGTTAATGCCTTATTTTTAGGAGCCAATTTTAGTTAGCTTGGTTTGTGGATAGCACCCACTAAGCACGTAGCAATATATCTCTTTTGTATTGAACTTCTAATGTATTTAAGCTATCTGTACCGAACAAAGAAAGGGGAGGAAAAAGAAATATACTCTGCTTCTACCTATTCTCTTCTGCCTTAGCATGTTCTTTTCTTTATTATCAATTCCTGGGAAAGTGAGAATAAAGTGGAAATGTATGATTATGGTTGTGTATGAAAAAGATAAATGAATGTGAGCCACACAAAACTTTCCAAAAGGGGAAATGGGAACTATTTTTTGGGACGATTCAAAAAGGGAGTTTTTTACAAGCATATTACTAAAATAAAACATATTTACGTAAATATGACTATTCATTACTACAATGTGGTGTTGTGGTAACTTAAGCTCAAAACTTGAACATAAATTACTATGATTTCATTACTACTCTAGTCACTAGTCATATTTTTGTAAATCATCTTTATTTTGGTCATATTTATGTAATTATTTCTTCAAAAAGGAAACCAGAAACTATTTTGCGGAACGGAGGGAATATGTGCATGTTAGATCAAATACGTAGTAAAAGGTAGCTTTTGGATGAGAATTGAGAAGAATCCCAACGTTTGATAGATAAAACGTTCTGTTATGAGAAATTTCTTACGCTTTGTCATTATGCTTTAATGGGGTTACTTTCGTAAGTCAATTTGAAATCATAAGATTCACTACTCGGAAATGAAGTCAATATAAAAAAATACGTAGTACACGATATATAGGGCCGTCTCTAGAAGTTTTGATGCCCCAGACAAAGAATGACTAATGAGATCAAATAGTACTTAAAATTAATAACACAATTAAATTAAATATGATTTATTTAAAAAATTATAACACCGTTTTTTACTAAATGTAAACGGTAATACTTAATTTAACATTGATATAAAGTATTTGAAAACAGAATTCTTCTAAGAAATAAATAAATTATAAAAGCACTACCTAATAGCCTATTCTTCTTGCCTTTTGATGTGCAAAATTTGTCAGCACATCACTACAATCAAGAGTAGTTACTTGAATCACATAACTCGGTCATATAAAGAGTAACAGGCAACACATCTACAATATCATTTTCAACATCTATCCTCATCCATGTTTTCATTTTTGTTCTCAAGTTGAACACCAATATTTTCAATCTCAAGATTTTTGTTTGAGGTTGATGTAGAAGGATTAATTTTTACATACCTATCCATGGAACCCGCAAAAGTTTGCATTACTTCATCTTTTCTTTTCTTAATTTTTCTTTTTGAAGCTCTTGTCTCTTGTTTTTGTTTCCCATTATAATAATAGACACTACAAAACAATAATTTAACGTTAACTATTAGAAAATATAAAAAAAAAATTCAGACTCAATTTGGTACACAAATAACTGCTAGAAAATTGGAAAAAGTATATAACACAAAATTTCAAATTTAATACAATTAATAAATACGTAGTAATAATTACTCTGTAATAAATTAGATGTAGAACTCTGCCCAGACTTTTCCCTACCCGGCCACTGGCCGTAGAGGGATGGTCAATTGGTCATACGGAGTACATATTAATACATTAATATTAGTATATTAATATACATATATGTAATAGTGTAATACTAGATTTTTAATTAAAAAATGATGCCCCCTTGGGGGTGGAACCCTAGGCCATTGCCTAGGTGCCTACCCCCTATGGCCGGTTCTGACAATATAGTTAGGCATCTTTATGAGTAGAGGTGGGCAATAATACCGAAAAATCAGTATACCGCACTTACCGTACCGAAAAATACCGAAAACTACCGGAATATTGGTATACTGCTATTTTCGGTACAGTATCATACCGTACCGATTTATTCTATTACGGTAACGGTAAATGTTTTCAAATATCGCGGTATACCGGTATAATACCGTACCGACTCCTTAGCCAACAATTACTTTAAATTCTAAAAATATTGTAAAAGTCCATTCCAATACTTAGGTTGGTTACAAATAACAAAATACAAAAATAGAGGTCCAATTCCTCAAACTTACTATAACCTTCTAGGCTTCTACTATGTAACATTCAAGCACACTAACTCTAATGACTAATGAGTAATGTACTAATGTACAGAAACAAGTTCATCTTGCCCCAAGAGTTTGCGAGTTGCGGTGGCTGAGCCGCTGAGTAGCTGACGAGTGAAGAGGAATACACTTATGTGACGAGTGTATCTACATAGGGATTCCGCGAGTCAAGAAACACAACTTTGTCCGAAAGTCTTATTCGAATATACTTTTAAAATTATAAAATTGACTAAACACACAATATCTTATTAGCTAGGAATAAATGATTTTATATTCATGTTGTTTGAATAATTTTATTTATTTTTGTTAGAGATTACTATTAATTTAATTATATCTACACTATTCAAGTTATTTAGGAGAATGTGTTATTTTTTAACATGTGGCATGTTGATCTGCTTAAATATACTACTAATACTTATAATTCAATATTGAATATGACATCAATAGATTATTAATTGTATTTTGTAACATTTTAATAATGGATTAAATATGTCGCTAGTAATACCGATTTAGTATATTTCGTTAGTTTATGATAATTTGTTGTATTGAGAGACATGTATGGTAATTTACCGATACCGTACCGTTACTGAACCGAAACTTTTGTATACCGAAATGCGGTATACCGAAACTTCGGTAAGGTAACGGTATATGAATTTTGCATACCGAAAGTTTTGGTACGGCAAAGGTATGTGAAAAAATATATACGGTATATAATACAAAATATTTTTCATTAACAAAAAATAATACATACTTTAGAAATAACTTTTAATAAGACTAGCTACTGACTATATAACAAAACTGATATTACAAGAATTTTTTACTAAAATTAAATCATTTAACTTATCAAAAACTATTATTAATTATCAAATAAGTGTCCATATTTCAAAATATCATATATTTGAGGGTTTGATATCAAATTTTCACGTCCTATATGTCTGAATTTTTTTTATCAAAAAAATGGCTTTACATTACTTTTTTTATATATTAAAATAGTTGGTGCTATTAAAAATTATTTTGAATATATATAATATTACGAGTTTATTAGTGATAATTGGTGCTCCCCCGTCCCAAATCAAGTTACAAAATCAAATTTTTGAGTCAAACAGACTCATTATATTTACTTAATTAGGATATCAATTCTTGATTTAATTTTAATTTAGATTTTGCAACTTTATAGATATTTTAAGGTTAAAGGGTCAAATAGGCAATTGTACCTATCTGGAATGCTCAATTTGCCTACTGAACTAATAAAAACTTCAATTTACACCCTCAACTCGAAAAAAAGTTCAAATTTCACTTTCTGCAGGTAATGACCTGGTCACCACCATGTCACCTGGTCAAATGCCAATTGTGCATCCTAGGTGGCAATTTAAGGGGTCAAATACGTAGAAAAGAGTATTTAGAGATATTACGTTTCTTTTGAGGCTAACATATGAGGCTCTTATGTCAAAATTGCAAGTGAGGGAAGCTCCATTCATATTCCCATGGGGCCTTGCAAATCTAGCCTGCCTAAATTCCTCACTATTTTCTCCAATTTGTAGGGCTTCCAAAGTCTAGACAGGATGCCTCAATTTCCTTTCAGCTCGGGAGTACTATTGAAACAGAGGACCCAGTTTCTATCTCCAAATTGATTCTTAACTCTCAAATCCAAGCAGTAAATACTGATACTCATCAAGTCTACTCTCCAGGGAAACAACCTCAGCTGCCACTGATACAGGCTAATTCAGACGCCTCTGATTTTTTTTATCACTTCGATCGATGAATCTTTCTTCTCAGATGACTTTCTGGGACATGCAGCCGAAAATGATCGTTGTCTTCCCATTTCACTACAAAAGGAAATTAGGAACTCTAATAGATAACTTGTCAATAGATAACTTGAACACACAACTAAAGATTACAAGAAAACTCAAAAAATGAAAGGCGGTACAACATGAGTACTAGGTTCCAGTCCAGAAATTTCCCTTGAGTCTAGATTAGTTCTTTTGGTTTTTCTTTTTAGTGTTGTTTTTCTTTTTATTTCATTTGGCGCTTTGTACTGATTTCTTTTATTAATAAAATTCCCAGCTTTCCTTGGAGAAAAAAAGATCACCTACCCCACAACATCCACACTGTTTATCAGTTAGCTATGGCATGAGTTAATGGCCAGCTATAATTAGCTAGCGTGTGTACTTGTTTTACGCTCATGTGCTTGATTAGTTGTAACTAATCCATCATCATAAATTCATAATCACGAGTCACAAGGTTGGGCGGACAATGACGGCGGCGGAAGAAGAGAAGGGGGCGGCGGTGTGCGTGACGGGGGCAGGAGGATACGTCGCATCATGGCTGGTCAAGCTTCTTCTCTCCAAGGGCTACACTGTTCACGGCACCGTTCGAGGAGACGCCGCAGGTATTTCCCGGCCACTCTACCTTGCTATAACATTTCTTCGATTCCTTCATTTATTCTAACCGAAACCTAAGCCAATTCAGTAAGAATGAGTAAAATGGAGGCGCCGGGCGGGTGTTTAATACAATGCTGTATTGATTAGGAGATGTGGTAAAGTATGGTCACTTGAAGAAGCTGGAAGGAGCTGCTGCATCGTCAATGTCAGGGAAATTGAAGTTGATGAAGGCGGACTTGCTGGACTACGAGTCGCTGGTTGGGGCTGTGGCAGGATGCGACGCCGTATTCCATGTTGCTTCCCCCGTACCCTTTGCCCTTATATCCGACTTCTCCACCGCTCAGGCAAGCTTGGCTGCTACCATATAACTTCACTCATTTTTTGGTTTTCAACACTACCTACACTTCAGTGTGTAGCTGTGTATAAACAAATTATTACTTGTCTATCACAATTTTTCATAAGTGTTTATTAGCTCATCTAAAATATAATCGATCATTATACCTCAGCTCCAGTTAGTAGCTCTTTAATTCTAAAACTTGGTTTTTGAATTTTAAAAGAAAGTTTTTGAATTTTAAAAGGATTATTACCACTTGGGATGTCATGGTAATTAGTAGTGAAGTACTGAAGTACTTATATACATTAGTTTTAAATTTAATACTATCTCCGTCCCATTGTCATCTTTAAAACTTTGACCTACTATATATTTTATTTGAAATTAGAAATTATTTATAATATAAAAATGATACGGAGTATGCAAATGATCTTTGTTAAAAGTACTTCCATAAAAGTATTAATTTTTTTTTTATCTCCATTATATTCCGAGTACTAATCAAAATCATGGTTCAAATTTTATGAAATGATAAAGTTTTTTGAGACGGAAATAGTATGTGTGTTTGCTAGTTGTTGGATACTGGGATGAACTTTTTGTACCCAAAACAAACTTCACTGCAAACGGGGTTTTAATCTATTTTACATTGAGGGTATGTTTGGTTTGACGGTTTTCAAGGGAAGGGGATCACAGATATTTTTTTTGTATTCTTTTTCTAGTAAAAAAATTAAGGGCTGGATTTGATGCTTAATAACAACATTATAAATTGAATCTTGTTGGAGATCCTGAATGACAACCAGATTTAAATTCTGTAATGTTCTGTTTTTATTACAAATAATGAACAATTCTATGGTGACATCATTCCCTGTCGAAATGGTAGTTTTACGCATTTCTATTTGGCCTATATACATACATAGAGTGTTTTTTTATCGTACAATGAATGTATGAATTTTTCCTTTCTTTCCCTATGAAAACCCTGGTCTCGACTATGAGAGCTTTCACTGATGACAAACACCAATTGCAGGAATAGAGGATCAAAAGTTCTTCCCATGGTGATAGAAACTTTAGTTTTAGGTTGATAGTCTTCATGTTCTTTATTAATTATAGAAGATGATGTTTATAGCCCCAAATAGAACAATCATAATTCAAATAGTAGTTGGAAAAGTAATTCTACCATTCTAAATGTAACTGAACTAGGAATCAGAATAAACAATGTTTATCACATGAATAGTAATAGGAAAGCTAATCATATCACTTGAGAAAGCCCTACCATGTAACAACATATCCTCTTAGTAGGGTGTTACTTGTGCGTGACCTCTTATTACGGAGTTGCTACACCACCCACTTCCACTGCATACTCCTTCACCTATTTATTGGCTACCCCTGAGTCTTAATATATGTATATGGTGGCTGCACACATTGGGAAACACCTTTTAGCTATACATATGACATATGATAGCTCAAATAATCATTAAGTTTGTTCTAGCTGCATTACTTTTTCTCGTGAGTAGTAGTTTTTTTGCACACTACATTTTGATGCATGATTCGTGTTATCATTGGTTTTACCTGCCAGTCTTTGATACTTTCTTTTTAATAATCATGTCCAAGATTATTTTGCCTCAATTCTGGGATTAATTACTCAAAGGTTTGTTTGTTGCAGAAGGAACTGTTGGAGCCTGCTGTGAAGGGTACATATAATGTACTGAAGGCTTGTTCTGAAACAAATGTGAAGCGCGTAATAATTGTGTCCTCGGTAGCTGCTGTTTATATGAACCCTAACTGGCCTGTTGATAAAGTGAAGGACGAGTCTTGCTGGTCCGACGATAAATATTGCACTGAAACAAATGTAATCCACCTTCATCCCCACCCCCAAGTAAAAAAAGAATATATTCTTTATGATATCTTTTGGGACTAAGGCTTGGATGTTGTTTGTTTGTTTGTTTGTTTGTTTGTTTGTTTGTTTGTTTGTTTGTTTGTTTGTTTGTTTGTTTGTTTGTTTATCTCTTCTTGATTCAAAGTATAATTCATAATCTATGCAGAACTGGTATTGTCTTTCGAAAACAATAGCAGAAAGAGATGCCTTTCAGTATGCACAAAAACATGGGCTTGATGTGATTTCTGTTTGCCCATCACTTGTTTTGGGCCCAATGCTACAGCAGACACCTAATTCCAGTAGCTCTGTTCTCATCTCTCTTTTGAAAGGTACCACAAATGCAAGTTGTCGTATAATTCAAGAATTATTCCAATTGAAATTTCATGAAGTTGCATGTTTTTATTAAGGTTGTATAATACCAGAATTTTCTCATTTCAGATGCTTTGTATTTCAGAACAGTTCTCGTAGTTATGTATTTATGTGCTTTTAATATAAATAATTTAGAGACCAATAAGCACGTCGACACTTCCTAAAGGTAAGTTTGTCACTGTTACATTTTCATAAGGAGACCAAGAACTAGATTATAGCTAATTCAATGATTTTACTTTTAATTCTTGATTTCTCTAATTTCAAGAATCTCCATTATATCTCCATTATATCTCCATTAATCTGGAACATATATCTACCTAAAAGGTACCTTAAGTCCTTAACTACTCCTTTAAGACCCTTCCCGGTTGCTGATTCAAACACTATTTTTCCCATCTCAGCTGGTGGGATCTTTCAACGAAGTTAGCGGAGCACGCAAGTTGGTGTTATGTTGTTTGAAAAATGAAAGAAGAAAAGAGAGTGAGGTTGGGAGATAAAGTGATGTGGATGACGAAGGGTGAGGGGCTAGAACGGAGGAAGTGAGAGGGGGAAAACAGATGGGTGGTGAGCAAAGCAGATAGTGTCCCGTACTCCCGTGAGTTCAGAATATTTAGTGAGAGAGTGAAGATATTGATTTTAGGTGAAAGGGTATAATAGTCATTGTAGCTATTTGTTATTACTAAAAATAAAAGTGTTGCAATTATTATGGAACTGCCAAAAGAGGTAAGTGTTTGCATTTATTTAAGAATGGGGGAAGTATTACGAGTACGTTTTACCAACTAGTGATTCTTGTTTTACAGTAGATGGTTATTATTTTTATTTATCCAATTGTTCACTTTTTACCACACTAAGCAATAAGTGATGTTTTGGTTGCATTTAATATTATGGAATCATCAGAAGGATCTGAAACGGTTCAAAATAAGACACCAATTGTGGTGGATGTACGCGATGTGGCCGAATCACTGCTGCTAGCCTATGAGAACCCTGAGGCTGAAGGTAGATACATATGCAACGCTCATACACTAAGTGTTCGGGATATGGTGGAAATGTTGAAGGAAATGTATCCACACTATAAATACCCCAAGAGGTGTGTCCATTCTTATTATCTAATTATTTTAGGATTAGCATCATATTTCTCGTCGATTTTAGATTTATTTTTCCAGCCCACATAGTCACACAAAACATATAGATAGTATATTAAAGAAGAAGTTATCTGATGTATGTGGATTGTTGCAGCTTCTCGAAGCCTGAAGGGAATGGCATAGAGCACAAAGTGACTTCACAAAGGCTGCAGGGGCTGGGCTGGTCTTTTCGGCCTCTTAAGGAAACTCTTAAAGATTCAGTAGAAAGTTACAGACAAGCTGGCCTCTTGGATTAGCATATACGTGTGTGTGTAACCACTACTATTTGCTGTATGTAATGTGATTTCTTCTTTGCACCAACTGTCTGATCGTTGAAATGGGTGGTTGTTGAATTGCTGAATGCTTTAGCTTAGAGCCCCTTTGATCGTAAGGGTTGTTTCAGGGGCGGAGCTAGAGGGGGGAAACCTAGGTCCTGATCCATCACAAATTCAAAAAATGCCTTAATTTTTAAAGTAAAAAATTATGTGTAATTTTTTTCAAAATTTTTTTTTACCGGTCCAGTGTCCTGACTCCGCCCTTGATTGTTTGGCTGACATGTGTGATTACACATTGACTATCATTTCATGGTGTATTTTATGTCCCATGGGAAGCCAATCATAACAAGCACATCCAGGTGTTGAACGTGTTAAAGTTATGCTGAATTTCATTTGCCGTTAATTTGATTTAGGCTTGTGTACTCCCTAATTCTCTTTGCTTTAGATTCATGTACTCCCTCCTCTTCTAATTTACTTCAAAAGACGAGTAGTATTGCTCATATAATTCTATCTCAAACCAAATGACTTTTTCGCGGAATTTTCCTTCTACGCTTTCCCACCATCTCACAATTACTTCTGGTAGTTGAGTGATAATAGTCAGCTTTGCGTCTCACGGACTTGCATATCTCTAGCAGCCTTATTCAACTTCTTGATCCAATCAGCAGCTTCAGAAATATCCCATGTCCCATCGAATGACTTGCACACCAAGACTCTAGCCTTTTTAAGGTATTGAGAAATTTTCACAAAAGAGACTCCTCCAGTCCTCCTTGCCTACCCCTAGGCAGTGGCGGAAGTACATAGGGGCTAGGGGGTGCGCCAGCCCCTGCAGATTTTTTTTTAATGTTATATATATATATATATATATATATATATATATATATATATATATATATATATATATATATATATATATATATATATATATATATATATATAACTAGCCCATGCAGCCTAGAAAATGAAGCCCACCATCAGCCCTGCATCCGACATCCCTCAATCCTTCAACCCAACCCATAAGCCCTCAACCCTGGTAACTTACTACTCTTTCGCTTAACGCAAAAAAAAAAAAAAAAAAAAAAGACAGACCGATTCAAGTACTCAAGCAAAAAGCGAATAGCAAGAGCAGCCGATAAGGAGTGCAGCCGTGCAGGACAATACGCTGATACGCCAACTCGCCAAGAACAGCCGAACAACGGAACAATAACAGTGATGTCGAGCAGGTCATTCGATTCTTCATCTTCCTACAGCCCTGCCGTTGGCCGCCTGCCGGGCTGCCGGTAACTAGGTAAGCCGCAAATGCCCTGTTAGTTGTTAATTTGTTATTTGTTGATTTCAATTGTTATTTTGTTAATTTATTACTACGTATTTGTTAATTTTTAATAGTATTTGTGATCGTTGGTATTTCGTAATTGTTGATATTTGTGAATTGTGAATTGTGAATTGTGATAGCCGATAACTAGCTAAGCCGTAATGTTGCAGACTTGTAGGGCTGTTTATTTTAATTTAGTAACTGTTAATTTAAATTTTTTGTAGTATTTCTAAATTAATAATTTATTAACTGTTAATAACTGTTAGTATTTCTAGGTTGTTTGAGAAAGAATGTCTCTGTTACGATTTTATCCAAAGGTTTCCAAAGGTAGTAAAGGGCCAAGCATTAAAGGTTCTTCATCGAATAATGTAATTTCTTTGTCAGATAATATCACTCCTAACATTGAAAATAATGTTAAAAAGCCTCGAATAGAAGTTGAAATATATCCATTTCCAAACTCATATTTAACTATGAAGTTCAGAGAGCCTTTGGCGAGAAACAAGAACACCTATCCCTTCAAAAACAGCCACAAATTCCACTTCTTCGGGCTTACTCTGATGCCTCAGACAGCTTTGACTATTCCGATGATTCCTTCTTCTCGGACGATTTTTTGGGGCATGCAACTGAAAGCGATCGGCGTCCTCTATCAAACCAGGAAGAAATTGGAAACTCTAAATTCAACAGGTCAATTTGCCGCAAAGCGAAGTTCGTCACCCCAGAGAACTGCTTGCCAACAGAAAATCTAAGGGAAAGTTCCCGAAATGGGACTAAAAAAGTTTGAAAATTCCAAAATAGGACTGCCATGTTTTTATTCCCAAAATAGGACTAATTACTGCCAAATTTGGAAAATACTGCCATGTTTGAAGTCTGGTACTGCCAAAACATGACAGTAATTAGTCCTATTTTGGGAATAAAAACATGAAAGTCCTATTTTGGAATTTCCAAACTTTTTTAGTCCTATTTTGGGTAATATCTCAAAATCTAAACACACAACTCAAACTTTATAGGAAATCTCAGCAAAACAAATGGCGCCACAGCATGAGGACAAGATCACAGTCCAGAGATTTCCCTTGGGTCTAGTTTGAGTCTATTATATTATCTTTTTTTATGTATTTTTCCCCTCTCTTTTTTCTTTTTCTTTTTTTTTTTCTTATTGCATTGTACTTTTTATTTTAATGAATAAAGTCCTTGAATTATCTTTAAAAAAATCAGAGGACGACATTGTTAGTGATCCTGGATTGCGTAAAGCGATTGAAAGTTACGATGTTAATATTAGAGAAGAAGTGAAAGACGTTATTTGACAAAGGGCCCTACTCAACCACGTGACTTCAAATTTCCACAAACTGATTTCAGTGGGTGTATGAGATCATTTCAAAAGCATTGGTTTGAAGAATTTACTTGGTTGGAATATAGTGTTGCTAAGGATGCAGAATTTTGTCACTTGTGTTATTTGTTTGCTAGAGGCCATAAAAATGGGGATGATGTTTTTACTGAAATTGGTTTTAATAACTGGAGGAAGGCCAAGGAAAAATTCCGTGACCACGAAGGAACTCCAAAAAGCATACATCATTATGCAAAAATTCAATATTCCGGGTTCAAAGACCGAAAGCAAAATGTGGATTATGTATTATCCCAACAAACCAGGAAAGATGAGAATGATTATCGTGCTAGATTAACAATTATTGTTGATGTAGTTCGATTCCTTTTAGAGGGTGGATTGGCTTTTCGAGGTCACGATGAATCAGATACTTCAGTGCATTCAGGTAAATATTTATTATATTATTTACATCATTTTTAACTTATTAGTTACATTATTAATTTATAATGCTTATTGTTAAGTTTTTATAAATGTATCTACACGTAATTTTCTTGAACTCTTGAAATGGGAGTGTAGACGGCATCCACATATAAATATGGTGATGAACTCAAACGCTCCTGGGAATAGTCAACTTTTCTCTCCTAAAATTCAAAAAGAGATTGTTAATGCGTGTGCAACTGAGGTAAGACTAGCTATTATTAATGAGATTGGTAGCAAGTATTTTTTTCTATTGATTGATGAGGCTCGAGATAGTTCAATAAAAGAACAAATGTCTGTGGTTTTAAGGTTTGTTAATAACTGTGGGGAGGTAATTGAGCGATTTCTAGGAGTGGTGCATGTTAGTAACACTTTTGCGCAGACATTGAAAAATGCCATTGATGATTTTTTTGCAAAGTATGGTCTTTCATTGTCTAAGGTTCGAGGTCAAGGTTATGATGGAGCGTCAAACATGAGCGGTGGGATTAATGGCTTAAAAAAAAATTAGAGGAAAATAAGCAAGCACACTATGTGCATTGTTTCGCTCATCGCCTTCAGTTAGTGATTGTTTCCTGTTTGAAGAACAATGGAATAGTTGGTAGTTTTTTTTATCATCTTATCATGATTGTGAATGTGGTTGGTGTTTCATGTAAAAGAAAAGATGATCTTTTGCAAAAGCATTATGAAAATCTTGTAGGCCGTATAGAACGTGGTGAGGTCAGCACAGAGAAAGGGAAAAATCAAGAAAAAAGTCTTGTAAGACCAGGTGATACCTCGCTGGGGATCTCATTATAAAACAATTATTAGAGTTGTAGATATGTGGGATGCGGTGATTGAGGTACTTGAAGCAATATTTGATGATGGTGTGGATCAGAAAAGTAAATCCACTTCTTCTAGTTTGATTGAAAAAATGGCAACATTTGAGTTTGTGTTCATTGCTCATTTCATGCTGCAATTACTAGGAAAAACTAATGTGCTATCAAAGGAATTGCAACAAAAAAATCAAAATATAGGAAATGTTGTGGATCTTGTCAAGGCAGTCAAGGACGATTTGGAAAGTTATCGGAATGATTATGGGTGGGGTTTGTTAGTTGAAGAAGTGTCTGGATTTTGTTCAAGTCATGCTATTGATGTGCCTAATATGAATGATGTAAAGCCAGGCAGAGTGAAAAGGCAAAAGACCGTTGATGGTAGCCCCGAAAATTTATTACCATTATTTTCATGTTGACATATTTCTCGAGGTAATTTTTGGACTTTTATTCCTTATTTAAGCGTATTTCAATTTATTTGTTTTGCTACACTATTTCATTATTTTTTTAAATATAATGTTAGGTTATTGATCGTCTTTTGCAAGAGATGAATAATTGTTTTACTGAGTCAAGTTTGGAGCTACTGATGTGCATAGCGTCCTTAAGTCCTAAAGATTCATTCTCCCATTTTGATTTGAAGCGGCTACTTCGTCTTGCTGAAATATACCCAGATGATTTTAGTTCAAGAGAAAAACATGAACTAAATGAACAACTTAAGGTGTTTCTTATATTTGTCAAATCATCTCCACAATTCTCAAGTCTTCAAACTATTGGAGATTTGGCAAAAAGAATGGTTGAAACAGAATGGCACACAACTTATAGGTTAGTGTACCGACTCATTCAGTTGGCATTGGTCTTACCTGTTACAACAGCCACGGTTGAAAGATCTTTCTCCACAATGTAGTTCATCAAGAATGATTTGCGCAACAAGATTGGAGAAGAATTCTTGACGGATAGCTTGGTGTGTTACATTGAGAAAAATATTTTTGTTAAAATTGAGAATGAAGACATTATGAGGAGATTTCAGAGTATGGCACCTCGAAGACATAGATTGCTACCTCCCAATTATTCTCCTTCATTTGACGCTTCAGTTGCTAATAAAAATTAAGGTACTATTTCATTACTTGTTTTATTTAAATTTTTGTTTTGTTTATTGCTATATTCATTTTTGTTTTGTTTATTGCAATAATTTCAATCAATTCGGTCAGAAAAGTAATTCTAACTATATTTATTTTAATTATTACACATTTCAGCGCGCGAATAAAAAATAATATGATTAATAAAGAATTTGTTGATAAGATTGATAAGCTAGAAAAGGGGTTAATTTAATAAAGAATGAGTTTTCACAACTTTAACTCAAAAAGGTGGAATCAATAACTTCGGGCCTGGTGCTCCACACTCCGACCCGACAGATTGATAGGTGAGTAAATCACGATAGGATCTCAAACAGTTTTTGATTGAGATGGTTCGGTGCTCGGTACGCACAGGGAGTTCCCACTTGAATGAAATTCT